TGTGACGCAGAGCCGTGCTGAGCTGGCACCTGTCATCTGATTTAATACATTATATTTGACATCGCAGCAGCCGGTTGTGGATTGGTCACCAAATACGATATTTTTTATTTTGCTGAAATGAAATCCCTTATGGCCGTGCAGGTTGGCTACGCTTTGGTGGTTTTATAGCAGACGGGCCAAGACCTGCACGCAAGGATTAAAGGGGAAATCCGTCGATTCATTCATGGATAGGAGACCGGGTACACCCAGTGTGTCATAGAAGGAAGTACGGGTCAGCTGCATTTTAAATCACATGACAAGACGGTAAATGTCCCTAGAGGATACTACACACAGGATCACATGCCAAGAAGCTGGCAGATCTGAATCGTTACTGGCAGGTTTGAAACGAAGAAAAAAGTCAGAAGATAGATTAAGAAAACTGGCCTGTTACTTAGGATTTAAGACTATAATCCCATGTTTGGGTAGGATAAAATCTACTCCACTAGGGGGCAAAGAAAACAAGAGCAGATGAATATGAAGGTAGAATGTGCAAATGCATTGGGTTTTATAAAAAATAAAAAGATGTCCAATGGGGCTGAGCGCCCATTTATCATTGTAGGATGTATGCTCAAAACTCTAATTTAAAAAAATTTAGATCTTCATTCTCGTCTTAAATAATTTTAGGGTTCTGTTTGACGAGACTCTTGCCCTACAGCTGTAGTTTTTTTTTTTTTTGCAGGGGCTATAATGTATACAATCACATGTATCAATGGTTATCTCACGATAACCTTAAATTAATCGTATCCCATCCCCTGAACAATGCGACAATTCCATTGTTTTATTTAGATCCAATTTCCCCAATGTTATCTTTTTGGATTACACTACACTGTTGACTGTCGGTAAACATTGGTACCTTTGGCTAAACAGAGTAACAGAAATCATTATCAAACTTGTTTGGGCAGTTTTCGATGCACACAATTGACACTTTAACCACATTCTGTGTTTTTATGACAAAATAATTAATTGGTTGTTGAAGGAATAAATGGCCAATCAGCAATCATTATCTGCTGTCTATTTTAAGGAAGTAAAGGAATTTCCATGTTTGCAATCTTGGACAATGGTTGCCATAATGGAGAAATCACCGAATATCAGCTGACCGCAATGAAGAACAACTGAAACTTGACAGTTTAGTATGATTAGTCTCAGTACAATAGGAACTGAAGTCATGTGATTTACTTTCACAACCGTGGCACTTAGCAAGGTTGCGCAATTTGCTCTGCTACTGTGCAGATGTGGTGTGATAATTTGTCATTTATCTATTTTGTATTGATAGACTAAAAGGGTCTTAGCATCTGCCAAGAGATACAACGATAGCTATAATGATATAACTTTAAACAGCAAAGAACTTTACCAATGACATGAAATCACTTGCATTACCAAGATGGTACCATGTGACTAAAACATCCAATAGTCCTTTAAATGAGTTGATGGCTGCAGACCTCCCTTTTAATGTTAAGAAATAAATCACTGGGACTGCATGCTGGCACACTCTGTTATATACAGGGTTTGCGTATGTTGAGAGCTTCTCAACCAGTTAGTTTTAGGTAAATAAATGTTTCCTAATGTAAACAGAATTTTTTTTTTATCATCTTGTTTTTTCCCAATTAAATTGATTGATTAAAGAGGATTAAAGACTTTTGTGATGTGGGTGCATTTCAACCCCTGGATAAAGTCATGACAGCACTAGTCACTGATTAAACTAGACATTTTCTAAGAAAAGACATCGTCAGCTCAATGTGAGTCGAGTGCTCACCCTGGCCTGAAACAGCTGATGTCGCTGCAGGCAGCCTTGCAGCTGATATTAAGGAGTTCATTTATGTGTGTGTTTGGGTTTGTGTATTAAGTTTGTTGCCTCCAGAAGCTTCTGCCTTTAGCAGGCTCCAGCCAGCAGGCTGTCTTCTCATTTCCTACTTTTGGATTTTGATTCTAAAACTTCTCAAAACCACATCTCATTTCAGTCAGCACACTTCTTTATTGAGCGAATTATTCAAATCTGATTTGGGCATGACCCCGTCTTCAAATGTGTAAAATGACATACACATCGATTTAACGTCATTAAAATGAAATGGGCAGACTGATTGGAAGGTCATGAGATTGTCTGAATCCCCTGTTACACTTGTATAGTTGACTCCAGCTGAAACCCGATCTGCTATATTTAGTGCATCATAGGGAAACAACACTTCCCTTTGGAGTACTGTATTAATCATACTTCACACATTTCAGTTGGCAGACACTGCATCCGCATTTAATTAAATTCTCCCAGTTGTCCTACTGTCAAAAAGAGTTGGTTGTTTCTTCGCACTGGAACAGGTCTAGGATTTCAGGCGGTTTCAGTTTTACAAGTGGATGCCATGATTAAACATTTAGTGAAGGAGATGGGAAAGATGATCCTTATTGAACATTTAAAGCAACTCAATCACGCATATCATACCTGAGAGGAGGGGCCAGACCGAAATGTGACGTCAGTACGTTAAAAACGAAAAACAACGCAATGGAAAATCTTTCCGTGTTTGTTAGATTTCTTGAGCTTTTATCACCGAGTCTGTCAGAACTTTTAGAACAAATTCTCATCTCCCTCCTCAGCACTTGGAGCAGCCTATGGCACGGCGAAGAGCGGCACAGGGATTGCTGCAATGTCAGTGATGCGGCCAGAGCTCATCATGAAGTCCATCATCCCAGTGGTCATGGCGGGTATCATCGCCATCTATGGGCTAGTGGTGGCAGTGCTGATAGCCAACAACATCTCTGAGAGAGTCACTCTCTATAAGTAAGATGGACCTTTAAAAGCATAACAGTTTTTCAAATTTTCTTAAATGTAAAATGTGCCGGTGTTGGTTATATCAGTTTATTTCCATAACAAGTTCATATTTGCTTATTTCACTAAATTTTAATCAGTTTAATCAGCAGAGTTTACCTCCATGGGGTTGTTTTGTCACATTTTTTCAGCCTTTTTACATGAGCTGATTATTTATTAAACGGTCACTACTGCTAAACCAGCAGTGTGACATTCACTCAGTGGTAGTTTAATCAGCAGAGTTTACCTCCATGGTTTTTAGTGTTTTTCCTACAAAGAGGCTTTAGTTTCTGCACCTAATGGAAAATAGTTTAAATAAAAGATGTTAAGTTCATGACCCATTGTTTTATTGCTAACAACTTAGATGCTTACTAAGAAGACATCGGAGTTGAATCATAATCTTAGTGCTCATCAAATAGAGTTTGTATGTCTGTGTTGCTCTTCAGATACAGGTTCTTCCTTGTAAAATTACAGAAAACTTAAGTGTGTTATTGTAACTTTTTTGTTGTCATCTCCACTAACTGCATTTGCCCTCTCTCTCCTCAACAGGAGTTTCCTGCATCTTGGTGCTGGTCTGAGCGTGGGACTGAGCGGGCTGGCAGCCGGGTTTGCCATCGGGATTGTGGGTGATGCCGGAGTTCGAGGCACTGCCCAGCAGCCCCGGCTTTTCGTAGGCATGATTTTGATCCTGATCTTTGCTGAGGTGCTGGGGCTTTACGGCCTCATTGTGGCTCTCATTCTGTCCACAAAATAAGTTTGTGCATCCACAAACACCATCTCATCCATTCCACATTAAAGCAGCAAGAACAAATAGGAGATTTTCACCTTCTTCCATTACACCCTGTGGATCTGACAGGATGGGATGGCAATGGAAAAAAAACCCCAATGCTGGCGGTCGACTTGGGCTGCTGCGTCCTCGGTAGATGTGATCTATCCATATTGTTTAAAGCCATCCAGTTGTGTCAGGTCCTTTTTGTGTACAGATCGGGCATGAAAATGTATTGGTTGTTGTGGGATGATGTGTGGACAGTCTGCCTGATTTGTTGTCTGATCTTAATCTGTACAGTGATCCAGAGACCCTCCACCCCTGTAAATGTAGTAACCAGTCTGTGCTGTGAGTGTGAGTATAAATGTTTGCCCCCCTGCCTCCCACCATTCCTTCCTTCTGGATTTTTGTTTTATGTTGGTGATTTTGATTGTAATCCTCTGTTTTGAAACTGCTGAATAAAGTGGCGCACATTAGTGTTTTCTTTCCGTGTTCTTTTGGGGACCATGTTTGAATCTGCAGCTTTCAACGTATGTTTTTTTTTTTTCACTATTTATGGAAAAATATGAAGATATTGACAAAATGGAGCTGTTTAAATGGAATATTGTTAATATCAAATACCCTATATACATATACATATAAATTATCTGTGTATAGTTAGATTATTGCACTGTGGGTAATTGTTCAAAGTGCTTGAAATTCCTCTGGATGTGGTGTGATAATTAATGGAGGATGTCCACATGGAGCTGACGGTGAGCGTGTGTGTGTGTGAGAAAGAGAGAGAGAGATAGAATGTGTGACTGTTGAATGTGTGTGTAAGTGAATTTGTGTTCAATATGTCATCATCAATCACTAGTATTGTTTACTTGTAGTGCTGCTGTCTTTGTTTTTTAAAGGTGAGAGGTCACTGTTCAGCCATGCCTGTCAGATTTCCAAATAAAAATCAACCTCCTCCAAATCGTTGTCAAGACTGTCTTTTTTTTTTGTGGACTTCTGGAAATGCGTAGGACAGTAAGTAATAACCATTTATAAGACAATAGGAGTCTGGTGTAAATGTGAAGAAAATGGCATATGGAGTTGGTCAAGGTAGCTGCAAAGAGGCCTGTACATATAACAGATACTTCTGTCTTGTGGGAAAAACCAACATTCTATATAATCTTTTTTGATGGCTATAATAATATGATATTTTATATATAAAGTATGTATATGTATATATCTTAGCCCAGTTGAACTTTTCCAATAAATCATGTTGATTTTCTTCTAAGGAACAGAGGCTACAGTAAGGTCAGGGTAGAGAAAATCACTGTTGTTTTTCACACAAATCCTCAAAGTGTCTGCTAGAAGCCTCACAGCAAAAAGGAATGTCACAATTCAGCACGACAATGACCCCAAGTCATGGGCCAGAACAAATTAGTGGATGTTCCTAATGTAGGTATGTATCCCTTTTGTTGAGGTGCAGTGGAAACTACTGCAGCTCAGCAGCAGCTAACTGACGGAAAATGCACATGAACTGTATTATCAGCTAAAAGATCGCAAGTGCCCAAAATAAATTGCATCAGTTATTTGGCATCTGTGCATGCACAGTATTCTATGAGTCAACCTTTTTACTGACACCATTAGAGGCCGCCAAATCATAATTTGTGCCAACTGCAAATTAACACTAGCAATTTATAAATATAGTTATTCATACTAGTACCGGTTAGGGGAAATGTATAATTTTTTCCCTGTATTTTAGCATTCCGATATTGTTTGACCGCAGTAATAAAAAAACCCCAGGATAAATTAGTTTAAGAAGTACGATCTGACTGGATGGTCTGGTCAGCCAAGAAACAGAATTGAACAAAGTGGGAACTATTGGTGCTCAACCAAGACACGTTTAACTCATAAAACATGATCAAATAAATAATCCATTATCACTTACAGCAAGTCTAAATCTTTATATTGACATTACGTGTAGTAATAGTAATTATCAAATGCTCAGATGATCCAGCATCTTGCAATCTACTTGGGTTCTTCTAACATTTACTGGTGTGCAGTTCTGTCGTTTGAACTGCAGCTCTCTGTTAAGGAATTTTGCTGTGTTGCAAGTGCGATTTGTTGAGGATACAAAAATAACCCAACTGCTCTGTTTAAAATAAACGTTGCTGAGTAAACACATTCTGCATAAATGGTGCAGCTGGAGAAAGCAATGCGACCCAGAGCATGAACAAATACAGATACTTTTAATAAAGATAATAGAGTTGTTATTTTTCATGTTAATGTTGTGTGAAAACTGAATATTAGAACTGGTCCGATCTTGTTGAAACAAGAGTCAGAGTCAGAAACATTGCTTTGACTGATCCGGGACGACAGCCATCTTACTTTTCGATATTGGTTGGTTTTATTCCAGTATTACTTCTTGAGACAATCACAATTTATATTTAGTGTATTTTTGACGCATTATTGTGTGTCCGTGACGCTCTAATCTGGCAACCGCAGTGCTGACGCTGTTCAGACCTGGCAACCCGCGGTGCTGATGCTTTTAGCTTCCACCAGCACAGAGCCTGTTATTGTTTATGGTCAGACTGTTGTTAAGTAGGTCATGGAGGAACAAGGCTCAGTCTGCTTTTCATTTGTCTGTTGACTGTAGGATTCTTTCAGGCGCAGCAGCAGCAGTAGCAGCAGCAGCGTGTTTGCAGGACAGACAATTTTTGTACATAACGCGACGATTGTGAGTCCTTCCAAGGTAATGTTTACACAGCGTTTATCCAGGGCCGTTGGCGACAGTGAGCTAACTCAACCCAGTTACACTGTGCGAGTTGTTCCACTTGCAGTTTTTCATTGAAATTTTATTTAACTTGCAAACCGTGTACACAAATGTGTACACAAACCTGAACAGGTTTTAATCTTACCGAATAATCATTGATACACACAGAGCGAAGTTTTAGTAGAAATATATTGTCCGACCTTGTTATCGCATGTTAGCCGCTACAAGCTACAGCGGGTTAGCCACTGTTAGCCGGACTAACCACAGTTAATCTGCCAACAGGTTCCGACTCTTTGTCTACGTTGGTCGTTGTAAATAACACTGTAACCCTAACTTTAGACATACAGAACTTATTATTTATATAGAAAATGTCCAAATAATGCTAGCCTTTGTGATGTATGCATTGACATGAGAGCATTACACTGCATTAGGATATGAATAAATTTGAAAGCATATAAAACTTTTAATGCAAATGTGACAGTGTAACTAACTGAGAGGTACGTAGTGTAAGTATTAATGGTTTTACCCTTTAGGTTGGTTTAACTTGTCCATATATGTGTTAAATGCTGTTTATTATATTTCCCATATTCTTGGCCTTGTTTTTTTTATCATTTCACATTGTTAGTGTGAGGTACACTTTGCCAGCTTAAGGCTGTAGACATAGTCATTGTTTCTCTAATATAATGTATTTGATAACTCTATAGTATGTATGTTTCCAGGGTGTTTACTGAATTCCAAAGTAACTTATTACCCCCAGATGAAAATAGCCACAGGTGCAAGTCATATTGTGGCAGATCTTGTGATCTATTAGGTTATGTGCTATAGAGTGTGCTTTTGGTTACTTGCATCTTCTTAAGTCCTATTTGTTTGTCTTAAACACAGTGACAGAGATGCTTTCATGAGACTAAATCCCCCAGAGCATCCAACTTCAAACTCTTCATCTCTCTCTCTACACTCTTTAACCATCATTATTTTGATATGTTTACCCAAACACCACATGGGATCCCGGAGCACGGAGGGTTCTTTATTCTGAACCTCCTCTCCAATGCTCTATAAAACTTCAATTAAACAACTTCAATTGAAGTTGTTTTTCAGGAGCCATCATGAGACTAGATCATGAAATTAAGAAGAGGACAGAAAGGAAAAAACAGTTTTGCATTGTCAGCACAAATGTGTCAACCACTCTTGGTGTGTCTGTTGTAAACCCATGCTAAACATGTTTTTTTTATCTTGTTTTTGTCTTTGTGTTTTTCAGTTGCAAGGCTGATGCTGGCATTTCTTAATTTGACCTGAACTGACTTGACTGTAGGATCCACTATACAGAGTTCTTTGCAGCCATGTCTAGACGAAGCAGAAACAGTCGTGCTTGGAGATACGTGTGGGGAGGGATTCGACGGGATGCAGATGCCCGGGCACTGGTGCTAGCCTCTGAAAGCGAGGAATGGAACTATGAGCGTTTAGAGGTAAGAGCTCAGCTAAAGCTAGACATCATGAGTTTAAAAGTGTTTAAAAAGTGTGTTGTCTGTTGTCTTTTTTTCTCCACAAAGCTTAAAATCTGTCCAAGCAATCTTTGTTAATTCTTCATAAAACCCATCCCTTTAAACCCATAGCAGGAAACGTTAGCAGTACTTACACTTTGTTTCATATGATGTGATGACATTTGACCTTGGAGAAATTGTTTTTCATACTGTTTTTATAAATGGTTTTATGTTCATGTGGTCTTGGCTGTTGGCAATGAGTTATTTAGAGTTAAATTCTTTGTGTCACGTCTTATCATTTATTGTCTTCATGGGAATGTACCGTAATGTCTGCCTCAGACAATAAACCATTGTAGAGCTGAATGGTTTTTAATCATTCGTTTTTGCAAATGCTGCTAACTTCACCATTTCTTTCTGCACTCCACAGTACAGTGATTCAGACTCTGAGGCAGACTTTTCTGCCGTGATGCTTCCTCCCGTTCCCAGTGCAGTCCCTGTTACTGGTGAGTCCTACTGTGGCTGCAATTCTCAGGCTGAGACCATGTATAGCCCCCGTGTGCTAGCTTTTCACCAAGTGAAGGACTGCCACTGTGGAGAGGATGACCAAGGTATGAAAGTGATGCTTGAACATCATTGCACTTAAATCACACACCGTTATCTTGTAGCATTTTCCTGCTCGTTATTTGTTCACAGTTTTGTCACAATGATTATTTTTTGAGTAAAATTATATTAACTGTAAAAGCATATATGGCATTGGTCTGGAGTTGTTTATAGTAAGCTGCAGCTATATTTCTAAGTATCAAGAAAAGAAGCAATATTTCTTTCTGATCAAGTTTGTGATTCATGCCACTGTCTTTTCTGACGTTGTAGACTTCGACTGGGTGTGGGACACAAACAGCCGATCAACAGCAACATTACTTAGCTGTGACAATCGTAAGGTCAACTTCCACTCCGAATACAGCTGTGGAACAGCTGCCATCCGAGGATCGAAAGAGCTGGCTGACGGGCAGCACTTCTGGGAAATAAAGATGACGTCTCCAGTGTATGGAACAGACATGGTGAACAACTTCCCCCTACCTCCTGACAGTAGCTGTTTTCCTTCGTATGGGAAGGCATTGTCTTAAAATTAAAATGATTTAATACATGCTCTGTTTCATTTAAGAGGTTAGTTGTATTTTTGACCGATTTTAATTTATCTACAGATGGTTGGCATTGGCACGTGTGATGTCAACCTGGACAAGTACAGACACACTTTTTGCAGCCTTCTAGGAAAAGACACAGACAGCTGGGGCCTCTCCTACACTGGTGAGACAGTTGCAACACACTATCATCTGATAATGGTCATTCTAAATTATTCTTCTATTTGAATATAATATTATATAACAATATAAAAATGTCAACTTTTTCAGGCCTGTTACATCACAAAGGAGACAAGACCAACTTTTCCTCTCGATTTGGGCAGGGATCCATCATTGGGGTCCACCTGGACATGTGGCATGGAACACTGACTTTCTTCAAGAATCGGAAGTACATAGGTGGGTAGTGATAAAACTGATTTCGGAAATAATTGGGTTTTTGATCGAAGAATATATAGGATTATGTCGCAAGTTGTCTTAAGATTATGCCCAAAAAATAAAAGCTTTGGTGTTTTGCTTAGTTGTCATTGTTAGCTTTATCACATTTCAGACAGTCTATCACCATTTCTGAATGCTGTTTGTTTACTAATGTTGCAGGTGTTGCAGCTACAGAGCTCCAGAATAAGAGGTTTTATCCGATGGCTTGCTCCACTGCAGCCAAAAGCAGCATGAAGGTGATCAGGTCCTGTTCTGCTCCCACCTCTTTGCTCTATCTCTGCTGTGCTCGCCTCCGTCAGCTGATGCCTGACTGCATTGACATCCTGGACGTCTTGCCACTGCCGCCGGGCCTCCGTCAGGTACTCAACAATAAACTGGGTTGGGTTCTCAGTCTCAACTGCAGTGCCACAGAAGATGGAGCAGATGGATCAGAAGGTCCCTCACACTCGCCCGTTCCTCCCTTGGCGGGACCGTCTTCTTCTGAGAGTGACTCAGAGGGTTGTACGTCCGACCCCGAAGCCTGTCAGAGGAAAAGGTGCCGCTGGACTTGAATGGACCTCTCTGGTCCTTCCTTGTCTTAAACACTGGCAGAGGTGACTGTCCTGTGTTGTCTAGTGTGGTGTTACTGCCTTGAGCTGTCCTCAGCTTCACTATCAGTAAGAGTGATAGAGAGAAATGACTGAGAGTGTTTGAGCGGAGACAGTGGGTTTGTAGAAGGAGAAGTGTGACAGCAGTATTTCTGCCTGCACATCATTATTACTGTGATCTTCTCTTCAATGCCATTAACTCAAATTCACTCACTCGGTATCCATACACCAGCTTCAATAACAAGTGTAAAGATGCAGTGTTGTTTTTCTTAGTTGCCATTCATCTGTGGGCATCAGTGAAATTATGCAGGAATAATTTAGTAAAATGTACAGTGAGACACTGAAGGAAAGAAAAAAAATATATGGCCGGATTTGGTAAGTATACTTTTGCATAATGGTTATTTCAGAGGGATGGTACGGAAATGTAAATTCTGTTTTTTTATATATATAATTGTGTATGCAAAAACCAGTATAATGTTTTCAAAACATTAATGCTCTCCATGATATTTTAGAGTCATCTGTTACCTGTACAACTGGCACCTTTGACTTAACATTGGTTTTTCAATGGGAAAGTCACTCAGTCAGTATTATTTGTCACTTGATTAAAGGTCACAGTCTTAGTAGCAGGTTTAGGGAACATTAATGAACTTTGCAGCTATTTAAAAAAGCACCCATCTCACAACCTTACATTCAGGAAAAAAATTTACATATTTATTCATATTAATGAATATATGATGCCACCAGCTTTTCCACGTCATCATTTGAAGATTTATACCTATACATTTTAAAACCTCAGTTATAAAGTTAAAAGCAATTTTATTACTTTGTTGCTTTTAGGGAACTTTTCATTGCCGTTAGATCTTATTGTTTCTTATTTTTTTAATTTAATTGACAAAAGATTATCATCAGTGTTTTAGCCGATGTCCTAGAAATGCAAAGGATGATATTTTGGTTCCTTCTGTTGCAGAATTATTTTGGTTTTCCACTGAGACTTTTTTCAACATTTTTGATTTGGCCCTTTTTTGTTTGGGATACTTGGAATTGCAACTTTTTTGAGTGTTCTGAGGAAAGCCCAAATCCATGTTATATATATTGTACTGTTACATAGGGCCTAAGAAATTGATTTAAATGACAGGTGTTCCACACAAAACATTATGATATTTTTTTTATTTTTTGTCGGAACATGGATCTTTTCTTCACCTCTGACACCAAAATACTCAGCTAAGTCAGATATATAATCTACCAGTACTTGTAACATATACATTTCTTCATACATCCTGAACCATATAAATATAAGCAAGTTGCAGCGTTGAATCCACACTTTTGCCCATTGCAGGTATAGTCAGTGATATTGTTCAACTCTTGTTGTCTTGGTTTTAGATACAAATAAAAAAAAAACATTTTCTAAAGACAACATTTAAAGTTATGGTGGAAATATTTTTTTCCCTGCCATAATCGACACACTGGCGTGGCACTAGTGAATGATGACACCAAAGGATGATGTGGTTTTTTTTTTTTCAAAAACTGAGAATGTGCTAAAATGTCTGTAGAGTCAGAAAATGTCACTTGGTTAGTGTGAGTTGACTGCAGCAGATGTATTTGGACTTTTTTCTCTGTGTATGTCTATACCTTTGATGCAACAGAGCACTTTTTCATACTCATAATTTCGAAGTTCAAGTGTTTCTTCTATACATTATCATATAAACAACTATTATAGGTATCGTAAGGTCTTGCCTGGCCTTTTTCAATCAGCATGATTTTGTGCTGAAAATAAAACGAATGCTGAATATGCACAAATGTCTAGTTTTTTAATGTATCACAATATTGTCTGAGAGGTTAGCAGCGAGATGGGGAATCTTCCTAGCTGGTGACTGGCCTGTCAGAAAAATTTTGTCAGTATATTTATTAACCAATTTCATTTAATTTTTCTAAGCTTTTATGGTTTTAAAATGTGAAATCCTCGGGAGCGGAACCAAAAGTACGGACCTAGTTAACACGGAAGATTTAACGGTCGGACCAAGCAAGTGTGTTGGCTGTGTGCGGAGGTCAAGTGAAGCGTCTTCTACATAATCTACATTCAGGTACGTCACAACAATTAATAGCATATTTCTAGGTATTTTCAAGCAATGTTTTGCCGAAAGAAGTGCTATATGTAACTCTTAACACAGTGACTTGTTTTCTCCATCGGGCCACAGCTATGTTAGCTCACGTTTGGTAGAGCAGGAGTAACGTTGGCTTGCTCAATCTGTATCGAATCCTCACACACTTAAATGATGCGATTTCAAGAAAAATGTAACTACATCAATCACATTGCAATTACTTCTATGCCATTAAAAGTGACTTAAGTAAACAAGTTTTGTGCGACTTACGATAAGAATAACTTTGGATATATTTTGATTTTTGCACTTCAGAATCTACAGCCACAGAATATAGTTTTCTTTCAAATGAAACAATACATGAGATTAAGTACATTCTGCCAGTTCTCGTTTGCAAAAACATTTATGAAAATATTATGATTTTTGTCTGCATTTATGAGTTGAAGGGAGTTTTGCACGTAGTCATTATATTATTAATGCGTTTTTGTGTGTGTGTTGTTTTGCATTTTCAGTGACGGAGATACACAATCATGGTGCGGAAGAAACAGTTTCGGCCTATTGCTGAGATGGCTCGAAAAGTCCGGGCCTACAGGGAGCTCAAATCCAGGCCACGGGAGTCGCAGAAATATGCTCTAGATTATGATACTATGACGCGACCTTTAACGGGAAAGATGCTGCCCGTGTTAGCCTGGCGGGATGTCCGGTTGGAGAGCCCTCTTTTCCCCCTGTTGGCAGGCATGAGGTTTTTCGGAGTGGGCCGACTTTTCACCCGCAAGTCCTGGTTGGAGGACCACACTGAGCCCAGTTACTGGCAGATTACAAAAGTCAAAGTTGACTACACGGCTGAAGTAAGTGTGGCAACCAAAAAGAACATTTTGATGATGATAATTGAACAATTTTGTGTAGTGAATATGATGTTTCTGTGTTTTGTAGAACATGGATCATGGTAAGGCCTGGGGGATCCTCACCTACAAAGGTAAGACTACAAAATAACACAGACAGAGATCAGTGTTACTGTCGTTTAATCTATAACTTTATATTACAATTATATATCTGTATTGCTGTATGATTAGTATGTATTATTGTATTATATTTATTTTAGGTAGTTCTTGTATAATAGGCATATGTGAGGTAACCTGGTTATGTTTTATCCTTGGCAGGTAAACAGGAGAGCGAGGTCAAAGAGGTGGACAAGATTATGTATCATGACTGGCGTCTGATTCCTAAACATATGGAACAACAGTACAGGGACTTTATACCCCTCCCTCAGCCACCGCCACGCTCTGTCCCATACCCACCACTGCTGCGTGCTATGCTGTTGGCGCAGTACAAGAAGACAACAGGCAAAGTACTGGCTGAGGAGCCAGCCTTACCTTTACACAGGCAGGTGCAGTTCAACAAAGACTACTTCAAAAAGCAGGAAGAAGAGAGACAGGCCAAGGAGGGGACCGCTGTGTGATCTCTGAACTGTCAGAAGTCGTCAAGTGTACCGTGAGTTTACAACTCAAATTCATGGACTGGAAAACATTGTCCGTAACTATCATGATGTGTAAAAGTGTTATCATTGTTATACGCTAAAATTAAACCTGAAAAATGGGGTTTTATCTGCAATGTTTTTGTTTTTAAACATTTCATTCAGGCCTCACTACATGAAACCCAGAAGGCCTTGATAATTCTTTTACACTATATTCAAAGTAAAATAGAGCCAATTGCATCAAAATTGTGTGCTTAGTTGTTAAATATATTATTAAATAATTCATAATTTTGCTATAAAAATAATCGGTTATTAAATTGAGGATGTGAATAACTGCAATGTTGTATGCAGTAAAAATTTGGAGGCAGATAGATTTTATTATCAATTTTCATTGCTCTGAGACAAAGATCAGTGACACGGTTTAAAAACATTCTTTATTTTACTCTCAGAAGAAAGTAGTCATGGTTCGGTTTTTCCACCTTCAGAAGTTGTTTTTCCTAGAGTCCTATAATCATGGTCAAGGGATATTTTGATGTTGAAGACGTTATGAATTTCGTGGCATTTTTATTTTAAGGTTTAAACTTTAAAGTCAGAAATGTATATTTGCTATCCATGAGATAGCAAATATACATATTTATCCAAAATATAATATGTATCTATCTATTTTCACATGGGAATAAAGTCAGAATTCTTCCGAATTTCGACGAGAAAAAAAATTTATGACAAAATTTCAATTCTCTTAGCTGAGAAACGAAGGCACGTTTTCTGTAAATTATTTTGTTTTGTTTTGTTTTTTTGTTTTTGTCCACGTCGAAATGCTAGACCCGTCGCCTGCTGGTGATTGTCTGAAAGTTGTTGCGTTATACGCCTGCGCGATGACGTGTATGATTACGTCTTTTCGCCTCTTTTCCGGTTTTCTGGCAGCGAGTTCAAACTTGGACCGGCGACAATGATTTGTCTATTTTTGACCGTTTTCGCCCACGTCCTGCAGACAGGTAAGTAGAAATGTTGGATTAAACATGTGCAAGCCATGTGCTACGAACACTAACTAGCACGTTGGGTTCGTTCAGTGTTTGACAATGTTTGTGTTTAATCCGCACGGAAACAGTCGTGCCACCATGCAGCAGTGTTGTTCAGTCCATTTGTTGACTCATGATCCTATTAATATCTGTGTGAGCAATGAATGGCTGCAATGGCACCGAAAAGAAGGTCGCAACTTCAGGGCCCTGACGATTCAGTGGTCAAATATGCGCGTACTGAAGAAACTGGTGAGCCGATGTGTGATTAGACTACAGTACAGCTTAACTGAAGGCAGACAGAGCATGTGAGTCAGCATGATATTAGCACAGCGGGAGTACTACCGTATCAGGCTGTTCATTAATCTGGTCCAAAGCAAATGACGCAGAAGTGCGTCTTATCAATTGTTAATGGGAAATTTGATAAACAATTTTAGTTAATTCTTTCTTATAATTCAAGTGAGCGTCATTTTATATCGTTAGTTGCACGCAATTGTTCTGTGGTTTAAAGAAGAAACTGCATTCGTGTATGTAGTAAAAAACCTGCGTGTAGGACAATTTGATTGCTGAATTGCACCTATGGGATTAATATACCTATAGATTGATACACCGTATACTCTTCTGTTAGTTGAATTGCACCTATCAGATTAACAAGTAGTAAAATGTTTTTGTTTCACATTATTCTCTTAACAATAATTATTTGTTGATATATTTAGCTCCTTCATTGGAAACAGAATTGTTTTAGAAATCAATGTACAGCTACTGTAGTGTAAGGAAAGTGCACAAGCACAGCAGTGTGAAAGTCAATATATTTATGTATCTTTATTGTTAAATTGACAAAACTTTTATTTTCTTTCTTTCCATTTTTGCATATTTGTCGTCATCCGTTGTAGGCTGGACAGGAGTGAACGAGCGCACCTTTATCGCTATAAAACCTGATGGTGTGCATCGAAGGCTGGTGGGAGAAATTGTGCAGCGCTTTGAGAAAAAAGGCTTCAAGCTGGTGGGACTGAAGCTCATTCAGGTATTTTTGATTTTTGCCCCCTAAATCATTGAGGTGAGTTTTCATCATATTCAACCATCATGTCTTCTTGTTTGAATGTCAGGCATCGGAGGATCTTCTCCGGGAACATTATGCAGAGCTGAGAGCCAGGCCATTTTTCACAGGACTGATCCAATACATGAACTCGGGGCCAATCGTTGCCATGGTGAGGAGTTAATGAAGCTGGGCTACCTGACACCCTGACAGATGATGTGAGAGTGGTTTACTGGCCAAGGCTATGTAACGTCATCTTCTGTTCTCTGAAGCTGTTTACTCTTTTTTTGGTGTTCAGGTGTGGCAGGGTTTGGATGTGGTTAAAACTGCGCGCAAGATGTTGGGAGAGACCAATCCTGCTGACTCCCTGCCAGGAACCATCCGAGGGGATTATGCTGTGGAAGTGGGCAGGTCAGTTCAGCGATGCATCAGTCCCACAGCATTTACTGATCATAACTGTTTTCAATTCAGTTAAATATTATTTGGTCCTGATATTGTTTGCACTGTGTTTGTTTTGCAGGAATGTGATCCACGGCAGTGACTCCGTGGAAAGCGCTCAGAGAGAAATCTCTCTGTGGTTTGGTCAGGATGAGCTTCAGTGCTGGGAGGACACTCACAACCACTGGCTCTATAACTGAACTGGGCTAAGGTCTGAAGCTGCCTCTCATAGTTTGAACCACCATTTATTTTTTTTCGTTGGTCTCATGACATCATGAATGACATACCTCAGCAGCTTATATTGGCTACAGTAATTTCCAAGAGCCAATAAGTCAGTTGCGTTATCTTACATTTAAACTTCAACTGTATGAAGTAAAATATTTAACATATCAAACATGCACTACCTGACCAATGATTTAACTATTTTCTTTACGGTGTGCCAATGATTGATATTCAAAACAAAAACCAATTGGTCCATTTTATTTAAGCTAATGAACACCATTTAGATCACCAACATGTTGTTAGTTCATTGTCTTTACAGTTGAGGAATAAATATTTCCTAACTTTGTCCATGAAAAAATCTTCTTGTATTTTCCTAGGATGGGGTAAATTTAACAAAAAGTCAAACAAAAATGTATTTTTCATTGAACCCCCTAAACATGTTAGAGTTGATTATATGTGACAACTGCCTTTTTGTATATTCATAATTTCGAATTTCTTTGCCTTCTAAAGAAATCAGATCCCCTGGAAATACTTGAAAAAAATAATTGTCTTACAATTTAATATGTGGCAGTTTACCTGCCTTGATTGTTCTTTTAATACAATAATGTTCACTAAAATGTTTTAAAATAATTTTTACTTTTCCATTTTTCTAGTCAATTTCATGCTTTTGTAAAACACTCCTATAGTGATGTGGAATTGGTTGTCAAAAAAAATAAAGTTTAAACGAGGTTTAAAGGCATCATGTTTTAAACCTACAAAATTAAAAAAAATTCTCAAATGCTATAATTTGATTAGAAACACGCAGAAAAGTAAAAAGATTTTTGTCAAACCTTTTTAGTTTTTGACCATAAATAACACTAAAGTTCACATTTTGACTGATAATGTTAGAGAAAAAGAATTACTGAAAATGTTCTCTAAAATGCAAGATTAGGTGCTAAAAC